TTCTTGGTGGTGCATTTTCAATGTCGAGCAGTGTAAATAAATTAAAATAATTTGAGATTGATTTTTTCCCATTAAATGGTCCTCAACGATATTATTCTGTAATTTACTCCCTCAATGATATAATTCTGTAATTTACTCCCTCAACGATATTATTCTGTAATTTACTCCCTCAACGATATTATTCTGTAATTTACTCCTTCAACAATATTATTCTGTAATTTACTCCTTCAACGATATTATTCTGTAATTTACTCCCTCAACGATATTATTCTGTAATTTACTAGCATCTTTAATTTATGATTTTGTTACAGTTGGTACACTGCAATAATTTTCATATGAATAATTTATAAGTTTTCAGAGTTCTGAAAATACATTATTACTACTTTCATGAAGTTTTACTATTTTAGAATCATAATCTGGTAATTTTACAAAACATTCAATAAACTACATTTTTCATTACTACAAATTATATATTAAAAGCCATGTGCTAATACTGAAGTCCATTAATGTTTTCTACAACACAAATTCTATGTGATTCTGTGACCAAGTCTCCAATTTAAAAACAATTTACACCAATAAGTACTTTTCACAATGATCTGCATTGAAATGTTAGTCACTTAATCTCTTATCATTGGAAACCTTTTTCCAAATTGACATTTTATTTTTAGTCGTATATAAATGCAAACATTTCACTCTTCAATTTGAGTAAGGCTCCTTAAATATGTTTGAAATAAAGCAAATATCTCGGCCAATTTTATCAAACTCTTGGTATTTTATTTTCTATGATGAGCACACAATTTTCCTGAATATTAGTATATGGGTCTGAGAAATATATAAAATGCTACATTGTAGAATTTTTACAAAACTGATGTGTTTAACTGTAAAAATGACAAAACATTTTTGTATTGAAAGCATTATCTCTACAACCAAAACAGTTGCAAAGATAAAGGCTGTGTAACAATTTCTGTGAACGTGGTGTATAATTATAGGTCACTATACTGATTTAAAGTAATTTTCAGTATTCCGCATGTATATATTTTTTAAACTAATGAATTCTGGAATTCCTGTTGTCTTTCTGGTTTTTCTATAAAAAAGTAGCATGCAGACAATTTTAATGTTACTTGAAAAAAAAAAAATGAGAACGTAATGAGGCAACTGACATATCAACGATTCAATTTTTAAATGACTGTTAATTGGTTATGGAAAATGGACTGTTTACAGTAATAATGAGTGCAAAAGATCATAGTCCAAGCCTGGTGAGCAAGCTCAGAGGTCATCAATAGGTCATGCTAGTAATTTGGACGAATTAGAACTGTTTGTTTTTGAGCTTTTATCAATGTGCAAAATTAAGAGCTTCAATACCTAACATACACAACTAACAAATACTGATTACAAGCAAGGTTCAAAATAGATAAATCTCACAATAGATATATGAGATTAAACACATATTATTGTTAATGCAAAACACTGCAGCCAGAAAGCATCGTGGTGAGTGCTTAAACTTTCAAAGAAACATGACTGAAATGATCTACTATTTGCTAAAAGAATTTTTTTCTCGTTTTACACGTAATTTGTTTTATCATGCAAGATACTTGTTCTGAATAAGATCACCAATTTAGAGAGTACGTCATCAAATCTGAGAAGTAGACTGCCGTTTGGGGAGGGGGTGGACTGCCTCGGAGACAAGACTCAGTTCTATAGACATTAATCTGCAAAAAGATTAATTTTGGAAGATTATATTAACTACTATCGCCCAGGCGATATAGTGGTTAGGGAAGCCTATTATGATACTGAAGGGCCCAGGTTCAAATCCCGGAGAAGACATGGATGTTTGTAAATGTATAGCGTCGGTGCGGCACTCTAAATAAACTGTGACCCGAAAGTCCTCTGGTGTGGATTGGTAGGAGTAGAGAGGGGAGGGAGACCCCTGGATCACCCCCAGGGTGCTCTCCCTCAAAATTTGGGGTGGGGAAATAGAAAACCAACCTCTCTTTGAAGTAGGCTTTGGCAACCATTGTTCCATGTAATATGGACACGACAACAACAATTCAACTACTGTATTTCGCTGAGTAAAAGGCAAATTTGCCATATAATTCTGCATTTTCTTATATTTAACTTGATGCCATGACTTGTATACACTTTTCCTAATTTGTTTTACTGACAGTATTTGCTTGTTTTCATAAAACCTAGAGGTACAGCAATGTAAGTAAATTTTTTAAACATTGCTGTTTCCATCTCTTGTATACATTTTTCTCACATCATTCATTAATTCTGTAAAGCTATGTATATATTTAGTTTATTAAATTGAAATATCAGTAAATTTTCGTATGCACAAAAATTAAAACAGCAAATATCTATATAAAAAATCAAAGCTTAGAGATCAGAATGTGCTGAAAATAACAATTATTTATGCAAAATCTGTAAATGGATTTTGGCCTCAAAATATTCAATATCATTTTTATGCTTTTGATTTAAAACTCATGTATAAAATGCATAAAACTCAACAGAATAAAAATGATTCCTAGTATTTACTTCAAAATCAAGCATCAATTCAAAAACATCTTATTAACGAAAATGGAGCAAAAGAAACCACATTAAAAAAAAAAAAAAATTATTAACGAAAATGGAGCAAAAGTTATAATTATATGAACAGCAGATCACACCTCATTTTGTAATTCAATCATCTTTCAGCAAAATGTAGCAATAAAATTTTAAAGAGAATACAGCTATTCAAGGTCTAAAATGTAATGAAATAGTTAAATTTTGAACTATTATTGAGGTAAGTAATGATATTTCTGTGTGTAAGTCAAACTGTATGATATAATACTCAAGTTGAAAAAAAATAGTCACTATACAATAGTCATACAATAAAAATGAAAAAAATATATAACGATTGTAATGAATTCAGCTAATGTAATTTCACGAAACCAGCTAGTAATTAATAATACTTGAAATGGATCTGCATTGCTACTTTTAAGTGACTTAGTTTCTTAATTAATAAAAGAATAAATTTGAAAGAAAAATTAAATATTATCTTATGCTTAGCTGAATAACATACTGCTGCATGGAAAATAAAAATATTTTAATTCAGGTAGTGGCAAAATACAGGGTGAGGCAGGGGAACTTCCTTATTTGAAACGTGTGCCACTAGCAGCATTTATTCCAAGAACGGTTGGGTGGCACTCATTGAAAAGAGAGGTATTAAACATTTCATGTCATGTAGTTTTAGTGCCGATCATACAGTGGACGAGAGAGGAGCGCACGTTTGCCATGAAGTCGCACTTTTTCAAAGTACTACATTTTCATCCATATAAATTGGCAGTGATGCAAAAACTTAATCCACACGATTTTCTTTCATGAAAATATGCATGCAAAGCCGTTCTTGACAATATGCCTCACAACACCCTTGTGTTCTTTAGCGATGAGGTTCATTTTCATCTTTCCGGTTGCAGCATGCATTAAGCAAAACATGCGATTACGGAGTTGCATGAATCCCTGAGAATTTCATAAGCAGCCCCTCCACACAGAATGTGTGACTGGTTTGGTGTGCATTGTCCAGAATAGGCATCATTGAACCATCGTTTTTTGGAGCAAATTTCTCTGGAAGCTTTATCTCCTTATGGGTGATTATCAGTGGACAGTGCGCTCGCCTCATTTAGCCCAGTGTGATTTCTTTTTGTGGGGCTATCTGAAATTCTAACATCCAAAGACCCTGGCTCAACTAAAGAACAATATTCAAGCTGCTATCGACAACATACCTGTTGATGTGCTGGCAAAAATGAAAAGAAACTTCAAAACTTCATTATCTCAATGCATTGACCAGAACGAAGGCCACCTTAATGATATTATTTTTAAACCGTAATAAAAAAAAACTTTTAAGTGTCTTTCTTGGAAAAAAATTAAACTGATATTGCTTATTGTGTTATTCATTTTTTTAAAAAAAGCAGTTTCCCTGTCGCACCCTGTATATCTTTTAAATTGCTGAGTTTTTAATTTTAAAAAAAATTTTTAATTCGCACAAAATGTGAAATAAATAAAAAATTAGATTCAAAATTCTGACTTTGAGGTGCATATGTTTTGGTGAAGGATTTCGTGTGCTTAAAATGTGGTGGTTCTATCCCCATTACTTGCAGCATTGTCCTGCTAGAAGACTTCATCTCCATTTGGGAAGAAGAACATGAAATTCTCCATTTTCTATTTGGCAATTCCATGTAAGGGTGCAACTGATCCACAATTATGTTCAGATAGTCCACAGCTTTCATGGTTTGTTCTATCACAACTAAGAGTCCCATAGTTGCACATGCAAAATACCACCCCCACCAGCCTGTGTATGACCTGCTGTATGGGGAGGCAACTGTTCACCTGGAAGATGGTGTACCCTGACACGACCGTCGACATGATGAATGAGAAATTATTATTTATTTAACCAGGCAGCTGTCTTCCATTTATCCATGGTCCAGTCTCAATGTTCCCAGGCCCACTGTAGGTGTAATTGACAATGATGGTCAACAGAAGGACATCTGCTGCACAGTCCCATATCTCATCTGCTGAGCTGTGTATCTGAAACACCTGCACTGTATTGGTCTGAGCCAGTCTGGTGCCGATTTTGCTGTACCAAGCAGGACACTCTCTGATGTTCTTTTTCTTTGTAATGCTTAGATGTCCAACAACTGATTTCACTGTTAATTATCCATTTAGGATAAATACTAACAATGGCAGATTGTGAACAGTCATGCAGTTTCAAACTTCTCATCTGAAAATATACACCTCAATGAATGCTTTAGATGCCTATACTATTTATCCAATTATTTTGGAATGGTAATAAAAACTGTGAATTTAATTATTCTTAAACTGAATAATTATGTGGTTTTATAGATAAATTTACAAATAAATACAAGTAGCAGATACTGAGTATTGTTATACAGATAAAAATATTATATGACATATATTTATGAATTACACTCTAAAATGATTATTTCGTGTTTAAGAAAAGACAGGGCAAAGAAAACATATATTTTATTTTAAAATAACAAAAGGAGTCTATGCTTTCTTTTTTCCTTTTTTAGGTGTCCAAGCTCTGATCAAATTCACAGCAAATATGATAGACAATGAGTGAACAAGAAATGTAATACTAACAAAAATACAAGTTATTAAAACAACAGGTACACCTCTGAATTTTTCCACATTGGTGCCAATATTATCAGACAACAAGAACACTTTTAAGTCTCCAGAATGATAAGCTATAGCACCGACCAAAGGAATAATGCCACAAACAAATATACCAACACTGTATACTTTCATAGCCATAACATTATTCTTTCTTAATCCATAGAATGCTGCTAATGTGAAAATAACGCTACTAAGCCAAACCCATTCCCACAAAATTGCTTTTGGAAACTTTATATCATAAAATTTCATCGGTGATATATTAACAAACTGCAAAATTTCAGTTGATAACTTCAGGATTACAAAAATGAGAAGAAGCATGTGAAGGACTACAGTTATTTTCAGCCTCCTCTTATTCGTAGAGCTGTAAAGAAAGAATATATATATATATATATATATATAATTAGGTTTACAGAATATGCAAATTAAAAAAAACACTCAATATACAGCATTTTTCTCAAATGATTTTCTAACATCAATATCCTTATACATTTTATGAATTCATGATTTAATTTTTTACTACACTACAATAAAATTACTTTCTCAAAAATTAATCAAATCATTGAACACTATGTTTGCATTACACAGTTTACTGTTAATCTGCTTGATTTTTTATGTAAGAAATCACACGATAGAATAGAAAACAACAAAATGTGTTTGATTTCGTTTAAAAAAACTATTTAACATATAATAATCTACGCTTTCTCAAATGCATAAGTCACAGTGTGACAAGAAACTATGCAAATGACTTCATCAACATTTGGATACTTCAGAAGGAAGCAGAACAAAAAAATTCAACAGGTGATCTTCAAAATAAGAATGATATATTAATATAAGATGTAAAAATTCGAAAACTATATTCCTAATGAAATTGAAAGTAAATATGTAACTGAAGTAATAAGTATTTAAAACAAGCGTAAGAGAACCGTGCAGAAGTGAAAGGAAGCAGAGTATGTTTTATTAAAATTCACATCAAATTTTCAAACCTGATTTGATAGTGAGATGCAATTGTCTCCCGATGTCCATAGTCAGTTCCATCGGTACCTTTAGCTCTTGCACCACCTTTAGAAGCCATCTAAACCTTATTTAACACGTGCATACAGAACTCTTACATACGTGGGAATATTCTTATCGCTTTAGACACCAACTCATGCAGCGTGGCCAAAGAGGCGTGGCAGAGCCAAATAACTTCACAGCAAACGCGTTACAGGCGTCTCAAGACCAGAAGAGGAAAATGCGTAACCTAATGCTGATTGGTTATTACAGGTCACGTGGTTTTCTTTCCTTTGGACGTCAGCATTAACACTAGAACTTAGCTGTGTAAGTTTACCACTTTTGGCGAAAATTTAATATTTAGAATCGCCAAAATAAAAACGCCATATCATAATTGCTAGTTGCATCGTTTGTGATGAATTACCAAAATAATCATTAGTAAGATGGGGAATATTAAAAGGAGCAACAGTTTGCTTAAAAATTTACATTAAGGTTCAGAAGTGGTGTCAGTTTTTTCAAAGTGAGCCAGAGTCAGGCCCAAATGTTAATACAACATTTTGTTTATTTAACACTGTTTATATTATATTGTAGTTCATTAGTTTGCGATGTGCTGTTTACCACTTTATGAGATGAATATATTTCAAAGACTAAAATCATATTTTGATGTTCAAAGTAAAGATATGATCACATTAAAATGGAATATATAACGCATTTTATAACATATGGAATTATTTGCATGCATTTCTCCGGTCATAACTAAAGAATTATAAAACAAAATTAAGAATTCAAGTGTGAACAGGCATACCAAACAGTATATTTGAAGTACTATATTACACAGGAATTATATAGAAATTGATTTGAAATAACTGGGTTTGTATTATAATAAGTAAGTTGCAATGACAGGAATATTATGGTAATGCCATTGTGAATTAAAGTATATTTCTGCTATGCAATACTTTTGCAACTGATGTGTCAAAATTAAAATTGCTATATTTTATAACTGCAGACTGGTTTAATAGTTATAAGTGTATCTACTTATAATTTCCATTAGAATATCATTTATGTTATTGATAATTTGTCAGTATGTTTTCTGATGTTAAGGAATTACATATTAACATATTGTTTATTTTGAAGATACAACTTTTGTACCTTTTTTTTTTTTTTTTTTCAAATCCATTTCACTTAATAAATAATGTGAGGCATTTCAATATATATTCTTTCACAAGATATTTTGGCCCTGTTCTGTTATCGGAACCAGATTCAGAAATGTATATATCAGAGTTGGCCAAACTTCATTTCAGTAAGCACGTTTGAATTCAGGAATGTTCGAGAGCTGCATCTAAATTTTCTAAAAGCCACAAGTTCATATTTACATCATTATAGAAGTAGTGGAGGAGGTTTTAAATAGAAAGAAATCCCTGATAACTTTGTAAAAAGAGTCTAAACTAATTAATTACTTCCTTTTGGACACTGAATAGTTTTAGTTTACCATATTTCATACATATATTTTATATGCATGAGCCGCACAAATTGCCTGCAAGAGCCGTATAAGGCTCGCGAGCCGCACATTGGCCACAATTGGTATATATATTTTGCATGTGCATATATATATATGTATGCATACACACACAAATAGACATGCACATGTATATACATACAATCAATCCTCATAACAGAAGAGTATCAATATTTCTAGCAGCTGCTTTCTTAATTTTGCATGAAGTTATCCTGGTTATGAAATCTCATTTTCATATTTGTTCAACTACCTTTCTTCTATAATTCAAGGTAATTTCATATGTTGTATAAAAATTAAAAGCAGTTTTATAGAGTGTTCGTAAGATTATTCTTCATGTCCACCTGTGATTTTTTAATATTGCTTCTTTTTAATATTGTGAATTCATTGTATTCCTGATTACTTGTATTTACATTCCACAATAAAATATGAGCATATAAAAAGTGTGGTTTCATTTTGGCATGAATGCAACTTCAGTACTTGGTTTAAATTTCACGAAACTTTCCTGAGTCAATAGGTGTTTTTCTAAAATTAATACCATAAATACTTAAATATACACTTATGCATTATTTCATTTAGCCTGTTTATATTATAGACTTTTAAAAATTTAGTACCTTATTCATATTCAGTTCTTGTTCTTCATTTTTAATCTAACTGATATGCAGTTTGAAGTTTGCTCACATGGTATCAAGCTTGTAACAAATTGGTTAAATGTGGTACTTTATGGTGTATTTTCAGGAAAAGCTATATCTTTAAATTATAATGTTTTTTAAATGTAGGGTTATGAAAAACTATGTCAGTGCTTGCATTGTTATAGTATTCTGTATTAAGAATTAGTCAACTTTTTATATAAACCAACAGATTTTTAACATCTGAGATAAGTATGAGTAGTGTGCTCTCTAAATTTTTTATCGCTTAATATTCAAATTTGGCATCTTCGCTTATTTGTTATCTGATGAAAGGTTTTTACTTGTTTCATTCTCGTTATTCTCCATAATACAAATGAAATAGTTAAAATTATCTTTCAAAAAATTAGCAAAAATATACAAATTTTATTCAGCTTTATTTTCCTAAAATAAACACTTGCATTTATGCTGGAAATAAAGCAAAGATAGCAAATTTTCGTTATTTCATATAGCCCACCAGAGGCCGAGCGGTTAAGACACTGAACACTGGTAGTTCGGTCCGAGGTTCGAATCCTGTGAACGGGCTGGCTGCATGGGCGTTTTCATGGTTTTTCCCATGTGTAACGTGTATACGAGCCAGTTTCCCTTAGAAAGTCCTCCACGAAGGCATCCCTTCCCTTAGGCAGATAGCCGTAATTAAATAAACCAAACCAAAACCATTATTGATCTTCATCAGTAACTAATAATAATATATGTAAAACAATAATAATAATTCATAATAAATTCTCCTGGTCAAAAGACAAAAAAAAAAAAAAAAAAAGTTAAAGTGAGACATTGAAATCAAATTATGAGCCATACTGTGCACTTTTATAACAACTTTTCCATATTAAGGAACAAGTAGTACAACAAATTATACATGGCAGTAGATAAAAAAAAAAATAAGTTGCATTTTTTGTTAAATTTTTATAAGACATTAGAATAAAAATATACAAATTGCACCCACACAGAAAAATAATCTTAGTTGTTAAAACTATAGTGTTCTGAAATTATAAGTTTTATAGTAATTAATGTATGCTAATTTTTTCAAATAAATGTATATTTGTGTGCTGAAACAGCTTAAATTAATAATACCATATATATGTTTTTTCAAATAAATGTGTGTGTGCTGAAATAGCTTTAATGAATAACACCGTATTCATTAAGCTATTTAATTTGAATATAAAAAGTTTAAGGGCTATATACAGAAGTCACGTAATATATTTTTCTTATTTATAATTGAACTAAAGAACAAAATAAGGAAAAGATCATTACAAACCTTGTTTTTTATGGAACTCTAAGTTTCATACATTTTATCATGTTATTATAATTATGGCGAGTCTTTAATCTTAATCTTAAAGTGACTTAAAACTAACTTAAAAGTGAGATCTTAAATCTCCTGTGGTGAGAAACAGTTCTAGACATCCTACTTCACTGAATTTAATATTTTTTCACATTACGTTATGAATGCATATTCTGTGTTTGCTTAAAATTGATGACGAATATGGCGTAACTTTAGCGACGGTATCTTTGTGCATACGTTTATGTGCTTTTAAATATCTCATCACATAGAAAGATGCACTGCAAGATTTGCATTATGTTTAAATATCTATATAATATGGATATGTTTAAATATCCATCTCAGTAATAAAAGCAAAAAAAGAAAGAAATGCAAGCTCTTTGATTTAAACAAACTGCTAACAATTGACGAGATACGCAGTTGGAGGAGAACTAGAAATAGAGCCAAAAACGTTTCAGGACTGTCATGTGATATAGTCAATGACAGTAAAGATAAGCATTTTGCGTTATCTATCTTGAGATGCCTGTTGCAGCATGGCTCTAGAAACTTCTGGATGAATTGGTCACAGGGCTTCGAAAATAGGTTTTCGTGTCATAACGAACTTTGCATTTATCTTGCATAACACATCCTGCAGAGTATAAATACGGGTCTGAGAACAAGAGAGCTTGTGAATCAGGTGCCAGACTTTGCAGTTAGCTGAATTACAAGTTAGTGTTTATCCTGAGAGAGTGATTTAGGAAACTTTAGAATTTATTTCATGAGCTAAAAGTGAATTGCTAAATATCCCTATTCTCCTTGATTTGTTTTCAGCCATTTTTGTTCTGTGTGTAATAGTATTGTGCCTATTCTCCTAATAAATTGTTCATACCATCCTGCTTATCTGGACTCATTATTTAAAGAAACATCAACAATCCTATCACCTAACTGGACAATGATTACGTATATGATAAATGTGTAATTCACATTTACAGTAGAATAGAATAGTTATTATAAAGCATGACTTTATAAATAGATTTAATGTATGCGTAGATTAAGTATAGGATAAATGCATAGCTTAGATATACAGTAGAACAGTTATATAAACAATTTTATTAAATTTATAATAAGATACATAATTAAATTAAAATGAGACATCCAGATTAGTTACATAAAAATCAAATAATTTGTTATAAATACACAAATTTTAAAAATACTTAAATAGCATAATTTTCTTAAACATTATTTAGTGACTTTTCTTTTAAACTTTTGGCATTCAATTCACTGCAATACAAATGATCATAGCTGGGATCTGAATTAACAATTAATTGATTTAATAAAATAGGTTTGGTATTATTTTTTTCTGCTGTTGAAGGATTTCCAAACTGTACTTTTTTACACACTTTTCGTTTTTTAACTGAATAAAATCTCTTTTGGGGAACAATTTTTTTATTTGTTGGTTCTTTTGAAATTGAAGCATGTGCTTTATCTAACAAAGGAACTTCTAATAAATGTTCAATTGCATTTAAATGCTTTTTTATTTGTGTAGCAAGATTAATGTCCATATTTTCAATGCAGTTTAATTTTTCAGAAATTGAAAATGAAGATTGAATAAGTTCACTAATGCATGTTTTACTTACTGTTAAAGATTCATAATTATTCCTAGTAGGTATTCTGTTTAGAGGGCCTATATAAGGTTCTGTCTTTTTTTCAGACATGATTACAAAATGTATATGTTTA